CCTTTAAATAAACACTCGTCAGTCCCGATTGTCATCTATGAGATTGTACAGTGGTTATGTTTATATACAGTGCATACCATCTTCAAAATATCACAAACTTCGTCTTATACTCTGACTTCAATTGCCACCTTTATTGTATCACGCAGCGGCGATTGTACCTTACCGATACAGCCAATCAGAGTCCTCAACACAAAGACAATTTTGCTTGTCGTGTAATCGAGCGTTATGATTGGTTGTTTTCGCCAGTGTACAAACCAATCAAATTTACAAACTACTGTGATACAAGAAATGAGTCCAATGAGTTCAAGGTATAAGACGAAGCTTGACATTATGAAGACATTGAATACTAATCAAACAAACTATTCAAGAAGTTTTAAGGATATCAGGTTTTTCAAGGTAGATTAACAAGGAAACTAATTAAACATAGATTAGTATTGAGTAGCCCTGAGATAGCAGATTAACAAATGACACCCACGAAGTAATTAACGCTCGCCTAATTAATTAAGGCTGATGTTAAAGAAAGTTTATTGTGTGTTCAGGGGCCATTAACAGATTCATTTGGTCGAGGATCATTTCATCTGTGATGAAGTTTATTTCAAATAGACACAACCGGAAATGGCAAACCTAATAACTGAATACTGCATCACCATGTCATCGGATATATCTCTAGAAGCCAGCAGATTTCAGCGAGATAAATGTTGAGAAGCCTGAAGGGGTGACCATGACCCGATGACCCTTCCCCTAGATACGCCAAGGTATACCAAGATTGTGTCTGGTTCGAGGTGGCCAAATTAGATTAGGTATGTGGCTTTTTATGTGTATCGGGGCAAGGTTTCTATTTGCTTCTCTGATCATTCAAATTTTAAACAGACGTCTTATTGAAAAGGGGATTGGTGCACATCGGTCTATCAGTTTTTCAAGATACGCATACAAAAAACTCTTTTCAATACAAATACATGTTAGATATCAGATTAGATTAGGATATCTTGATCTTAAAGTAAATAACTGATTATCGTTAATCAAATATGGCAGGGACACTCTAACATTGACTTCTTGTTCCAGTTTGAATCCCAACAAATACACATCTTCGTTTGATTCTAGTTCCTTATCTCAACGGATCTCTCTGTCAGTAAGACAGGTTGGAGATAGAGGCTGATATATAAAACTGATTGGACGCTAAACAGAGGTCCTGTGTGATACAAGCTCTGCATTTAAACAACCCATGAACAGTTGGTAATAGCATAGAGTAGGTTAATGTTGCTCTCCTGTAAAGATTTTTATCATAGCAGACCTATTGCCCTTATTATTAGTAAAAATAGTCGGTTCTCTATCAGAAAGTTTGCTAACTGAAGAGTTACACTGTAAAATAACCGTAAGAATAATTTGAACATAATCAACTCGGATATTGTTTCTCATTGTCCTTTAAAGCGACAGATGCGCCATTTTCTTTGACCATAAACAATCCCTTTAAGTATACATGTATGTATATTTTCAATTACTTGAGATTGAACTATTTGTTAAAATACAGGTCATATCAGAATATGAGTGATATTTATTAGTTCAACAAGTTTCAACATTCTCTCACACGCCTAATTTTCTAGCTCAGTTTTTACTTTGAAATGATATCGTTGCTATTTAGCCTTGACATGTTAGAGGACTACAGACAACAAATAAATCTTGTGTAAACATAGTTTTTAAATGTTACAAATCAGTCAAAGGTTATGATGTTTTGTAATTTTACAAACTCAGTTTTGTTTTTGTGAGTTATATTAATGTATTACCCAGTAAATGTCACAAACCAATTTTCTAGCTGAGAATAATTTTGTTATTTTCCTGAAACCTCATTTATCTTGTTGAATGTTTTTTTTAGTCAACTGATTGTTGTTACACTGGAATCATGTGGAGCCTCCAGAGTTTAATGCTCGTTCACTGTGACCTTGAATAAGTCATCTTTCTTCATTATTATAATCTACCCAGATAGAGATAGGTACTAAAGAAGTCCTTTCCTCATGTTTCTAGTCAGCCCAGCTGTAAATGGGTAAATAAAAATCCATACAAACAAGACAATTCCGTTAATAAAAATCTCGTCTAAAGTTGTATAGTAGTGCACTCCTCAAATGAAAAGTGTCATCAGGTGTTTTGAAAAGAGTTAGCATGATCTGCTTCAAGCGCAACACTCGTCACTACTATAATGATCAAAATCATGATCCAATAAATGTATAGTCGAGGGCTCCTCAAACAAGAAGTCTCATCAGGTGTTTCGAAAAGAGTAAGCATGGTCTGCTTCGCGCATGACACCCGTCACTACTATATGGGTGACGTTTCCTTTACCTTTCGGTAGATATAAGTTTTGGCTGGCTTTGGTTTGTAGGAGTTGTAATGCACATTCAATATTAGTCCGGACAACAGTTGGACAACTTTTTGACAAAAAAATGATTTGGAAACCATTGATTTGAAGATGGATGATTATCCAAAACTAGCATTAAAGGGATACAAAAGAAGAGCGATGTGCAACAGAGAAACCTTATAGCCTCTATTTGTGTCATTTTTCCAACGCTTTCTTTAAGAGAAAAACTTGACCAAATTGTGAAGTCACTATAGAAACCTCTTTAAATCAACTTAACCAAGAATAATCAAGAATGAAGACCTATTACATACGAATTAGTACAAGTAGGCTTTAATGAATATATTATTGTGTATATATGTATATCAAATATTAAGAGTCAACATTTTAACTAATCTATATAATTATGTCAAGTGGACATTAGCAACAGGAAGTTGATGGTGATATAATGAAGAATTTCACCAGATTATGAATGAGGTGTACATTTACACACAGCAGATGGACTGGAAACAGAAGATTACAAGTATATAGATACAGGTTTATAGAAGAATAATCACTGGTTAATGTTTTATGCAACGTTTCAAAGAATTTCGTGCTTGAAGATGGGAGAAACACGCCGAAACGTTGCAAAAAACTAAAACCAGTGATTTTCGTTCCAATGAGTGTGTCTATCATTAATCTATACTGTTGATTTATGTCATTTAAAAACGTTTTAATAAAATTGGTTTGTATGTGAATATAATTACAAAATATAAAACATCTGATGGGTTTGTATGTAAATTGAACAATTTGTAAAATATGAATGTCGACTGAACACGACTTACTCAAGAATGTATTCAAATTATAGAAGTAATAAATCATTCAAAACTGCTGCTGTTTTGAGCAGAATGATTTGTATGTGTATTAAATTGTAAAAATTGGATGTAGACTGAACACGACTTACTCAAGAATGTATTCAGATTATGGATGACGTGTGTAATAATACAGATAAGGAGAACAAGAAAGTAGTTCGTCAGATCTGTGGTTGTAGATGAATAAACTAATTTGCAAATTGTAGAAAATATACAGATTGTATCGGAATCCAGTTGTGAAATATAAAATAGGCGTATTGGTTAAAAATAACGTCATTAGAACAGGACTGTGGTAGGAAAATTTTTAGATTACAATGGAGACGCAAAATATCTGAAGAGACTAAAAGAAAACGAAATTGAAACCTTATTTTAATTAGAATGGTTTGTATGAAATATCAAATGGTCTTACCTTCTGTATGCACTGTAGATATATAGGTCCAGTTAAAATTCACTACCAGATCAATCAGAGCCTGGGCCTGATAATTGTCAGGGGGAACAACTCGTAGAAAATATCCAAATCTTCCTTTATCACTTAAACTCATACTGGTAGCTGAATATCCTATTTGTGGAATATGGAATATCTGAAGTAGATTCTGAATTTGAACTGACGAATCGCTGGAACCAGGTCCTACTAATCCTGCAATGGGTTTTAACCGTTCCGCTCGACATCCCTTCTGATCCGTTACGTTGTTAGTAAGGTCTGTATTACTAGCAATGGCGTCTTTAATGAAATCTATACTTTGTTCCAGAGCTATAGAAGAATACCAGCAAGAATCCCTGATATCACAGCCCAAAGTTACATTGGGTAGAATCGAATTATTTTCATTTATTTTATCTAGAGTATAAAAGAGCGTTTCAATTCGCTGAATTCCGTAAAATTCGCGAATTTTTCCACAAGCGCGAGCGAACACAAAAGCCTTAGGTGGGGAATAATGTACAGGAAACAAGGCTCCGAGTACGATATCCCCCTCAATCCGAGCTGTCCGTAGTTTAGTATTCCGAGGCGGATCCTCCACCGATCCGGTCATTTTTGACACAAGTAACATAACTCCTATAATCCGAAACACCTTACACTCCATGATGACTTTCAAAAACATCCCCATTGTTAGGAGTTAAATTTCGTATATATTCTTAAAACACCTCAGTGGTTCCGAATGATATCCATAATGAACAGAATGCTCATGCTACGATAGGTACAGAGCTTCTCTGGTACTCGATGATTAACAAACAGTTTCGATTGTACTGTGAACATTCAGACATTTCAGCGACTGTATTCCAAAACTGGAAATAAAAAGATAAACATAATGAAGCTATACATGAATAATAACACTAATAACATATGCATTCTGATTCGCTTTTCAAATCAGTCTGCCGTGTAAAATAACTGTTGCTTTAATAAGAGAAGGGAATAAACGGATGCCGAGGACAAAATGTAAACAATTTGAAAAAAGATGTTTTACTTATGACAACTTACATACATACAATAAAAGACTGAAATTGTTCATATGTTTTTATTCTTTAAATAAAATACAACATTCATAACTTTCCTTGGTCATTTTATTATTTTTACAGTCCAAAAACAATTACATACACGTATTGATGCAATTTTTTTTTTCAATTCTTTTTGGGGTGTTTTTTCAACATACAGTATGATACCCGTCTCTAACTGTCTCTAAAACTGACATCAACTCCCGTCTAACAGGATGTGGGTGAAATATTGGTAATAAGATCATTTCTGTATTTGTCACTAAAATGGCCAATAGATGTCGACTGCCCACGAGGAAACGTGAAAATATCGGTTATGACCTTACAGATGTTTTCTTTCTTTGTCGCTAAAATCAAAAAGTGTCAACGGGAAATAGAAATTATTAGTTCAGACTATATTTGAGATAATTTCTGCGATTGTAACTAAATTGATCGGGATACGTAAAAAGTCGGTTATGACAGTAAATATATATATATAGTGTCTAACGACAGCTTTGTTGAACGTTTGTCAAATTAAGCTTTTGACCCCACCTGATAAACAATGCGTCATAAAATGCTAGCGCTGGAGAGTATAGCAATTTGATTGGTAAAAGCAGACGTCAAAAGGTTCATTTGGCGAACGTTCAAGAGAGCTGTCGTTAGACCCTAACTGGAGTGGCTATATTTAGAATAAGAAAATAAAAAAAAGAACGAAAGTTCTCGTCTCCCAACCCCACCCCCTTTGGCTCCGCCACTGCGAAAGTTTGGTAAAATTAGACTGTGAGATATGACAGTACATGTATATGAGATATTTTCTGTACCGTCCACTGAAATGGTCAGTGCGTATCGATTGATGTCCACAGGGAATGGAGAAGATAATTAAATTTCAGAAAGAAACAGAAAGTGACCAGAAAGGTGATGTGGATGACAGCTGCGAAATAGGTTGATCTTTTTAAGTCCAGTCTAATTAGACATTGAACAATCGTGGTCTCTTTGTATTAGTGTCTAGGATTAGGGATCGATACCGACTAAGGTATGGACATGGACACAGCGGAGTTTCTATGTCGGAGAATGGGGCGGCAGGTA